ATTAGGGCTGGAAGGGATCTCAGGAGGTCATCTAGTCCACCCCTGTGCTCAAAGCAGGACCAATCCCCAGACAGATTTTTACCCCAGTTCCCTAAATGGCCCCCCCTCAAGGACTGAACTTACAAACGTGGGTTTAGTAGGCCAATGCTCAAACCACTGAGCTATCCAGCAGTAGATGGTGTAAGAGCACAATCAAGCCCATAATCCAACAAGTCATTTAATTTTAGTGTTTTCTCTTCTATTCAGCCTATTTTCATTCCCCAAATCCAGTTAACAATGAATAGCTAATAATAAAGGTACCAACTATAGAACTGCTGATTTACTGAGGCAATGTTAGAATGGACATCCAAAACATAGTTACAAATTCTAAAGACGGGGTTAGCGTCCGATTTAATCTCCTAATATTTAGAGAATATTTTTGATGTTAATGAGTAACGAGCATAGGTATAAAACAGGAATTCTGCGGGGAAAAGCACTTTTCACTTGTGTTTTAGAATGTTAATAACTGAAATTTCAGGACTAGAACACGAGCATCTTGTAAAAAGGGAATGTAATATCCTGCAAATGCTCATCACTTAACTGCTTTGCCTTATAACATTGTGAGAGCTCCAAGAATTAGTTGCAGGCTTTTGTAAGCACTTTATCATAATAATTCAAAATCTTAGCAGAACAATGTACATGCTAAAAATACATTCACATCATAAATTGTTAGAAGGTGAGTCCGAGAAAAACATCTCCTGTTTTTTTAACTTCTTTTGCCAACAGCACTGTAAACTGTACAAAAGCCAAAAGGAAGGACAGACTTTATTGTTATTGATTTCAATAACATGAATCCTCCAGGTTTTTTCCTCTTTGTTTTGGCAAGATAATCATTCCTTTAACTACATTTTGCTACAAAATGTTTCTTGTATGTACTTCATGCTATAGTTTCTCTATACTTTTCCCGAGATATTGGCTAATTTTACAAACCAATTCTAGAGGAAATAGATTCTTTCTTGTCCTTGATTGTTTTGAAGTGTGGATAAAAGAACATATAATGGGCTTCAAACAAAATCCTGCCCATCATGCTCGCATAAGCAGCCTCACTCACAATTGGGAACATAATATCTTCTTTATAGTTACTCTCTAGTTGTTAATCATGTTTTGTTGCGGAAAACCTGCACATTGTACAGTGTGTATGTGGATATGCATCTTCTGTTTGGCCAGATGGTCCAGGAAGGGTGGCAATAAACCCTATTATGAGTTACCAAAATACATGCACATGAGGGAAGAGTAATAATTTGTTGTCATGGCTTCTGGGCATTGAGTCATTGTGGACTTCTCTATATACCTCTACCGTGATCTAATGCGACCTGATATAACATGGTAAAGCAGTGCGTCCGGGGGGGGGGGGGGGGAAGAGGAGGCAGGGATGCACACTCCGGCAGAGCAAAGCAAGTTCGATAGAACATGGTTTCACCTATAACACAGTAAGATTTTTTGGCTCCCGAGGACAGCGTTATATCGAGGTAGAGGTGTATTTCCTGGATGCAGAAAAGTGCTAATGTGATGTAACAAACAGTAGCTTATAAACTAAAGTGAAAGTGGCCATGCCCCACACAGTGAAATGGGAACTGTAGGGGTGCGGACTCACCCCTGTGGCGCCTCCTGCTGGTTGTCCTTGGAGCGCCCTCTGCAGGCTGGTGATCCACCTTGGCACTGGCCCCCCATGTCCCTCCCAGGACCTTGGTGCCCCTTTATCTGGGTGCTGCCCCCTGGCAGTACCCCCACAGTTCTGGGTCTCCCCCTCCCAGGGGAACCCCCACCCACTATCCACACTTCACCTCAGTCTTGGCTACTGCCCAGTCTCCATCTAGTCCCCATTCACTGGGGCAGACTGCAGTATCAGCCACTCATCACAGGCAAAGGGGTTCAGACCTGCTGCCTCTGCCTACCCATGGGCTGCCCCCTGCAACCCAGTACCTAATAGGCCTTACCAGGCCTGCAGCCTGGGGCTTTCCTAGGCCAGAGCACCCCAGCTCCCTTGGCCTTTCCCCAGCCCTGCTCCACTCTAGGCACTTAGTTAAGCTCCCTGCAGCCAGGTCCTTCTTTCTCTAAATGCAGAGAGACTCTCTTATAGGGACCAGCTGGGCCTGATTGGGGCGTGGCCCCAGTTGTTATTGCCTTACCCAATCAGCCCAGGCTTTCCCTCCCAGCCTCAGCCCTCAACTAGGGCTGGCTTTAACCCTTTCTGGGTCAGAGCAGGTGACCACCCCGTTACAGGAACAGTGACAGTAAGTAGGGTATGTCTACACAGGGTGTGATTGCCGCTAGAGTAGACATATCTGGGCTAGCATTAATCTAACTAGCTTGAGTACCAGAACTGTGAAGCCATAACAACATAGGCTTCATTGTAGGCTGTACAAACCTGCCTGGAACCCTGGATAATTACTCGGGCAGCTAGAATGTCTACACTTCAGTCACACCCTGTGACTGCAGGGTAGGCATACCCATAGCAGCTGGCAGCAGTCCGAATGGTAGGTGGTATCCAAGTGTATCTAGTGCTCTGGACTGTACAGGCCCAATTCACCACTGCCTTGTACCTTGTGCAATGACATCAGTGCAAAGTGGGTGTAAATTACTACCATTCTGATTTGGTACATTTTACATCCATTTTGCACTCAGCTTGCACTGGTGTAAATGACTACACGTGGTGCAGGATGGGGAATCTTAATTTCATTTTAAACTTAACATATGTAAAATATAGTTACAGTTTTTAAAAACAATTTGTATTTTGACCAAAAAAAAAAAACCCACAAGAGAATGTTTGTGCTGAGTTTTTGAAAACATGGTCATCTTTCTCCAGCCTGCTAATCAAATGAGTAGGACTCTAAAACATTTACTGGTCAACCCACTTGATTCATGAGATTTGTGTAGTATCTCATTTACAAAACATTATAGACAACATATCAGGAGCCTAAAATATACAATTTGCTAGAATTACTGCTTAATTATAGACGCTATTTCACTTAAAAGTGAATTAGTACAGAGAAGATTGAAATGGTTTGGGACTTACGTATAACTGGCTTCCAGTTTGTGTTGTGTCTCAAGGCCAGCAACAGGCTGCACACTTGGGAATTCCCAAGTTTACTATGCTATTCAGGACCCATTGGTGACAATTCAGATGCACCTTCTTTTCCCCTCTTCCACTTTACTACCATCTTTGGAAAAAGATGTATAACAGCAACAATGGTGAGAGGAACAAGATGAATGGAAAGTAATAGCTGCTTACATATTTGATAAGAGTTCAGTTCTCACTACTTTTAAATGAATACTTATCCCACATCTACATGGGACTGGGATGTTAGTGTCTGGTCTAACAATTACTGTGGTCCTTAAACAATTGCTAATTTCAATATAATTGCTGAGATGTCAATGAACTTTAGTTAAGCTTAGTATCATGGTAAAACTCATAAGTTTTCAACTTCAATTGCAAAACATAAATGGGAGTTAATGTACAGTTCTCTGTGCTTCCAAAATTATGTGTATTGAAATTAGGTCTCTTTGGATCTTTTCTGACATCAAGCTAAAGAACTGATTCTTTCAGCTCTGTCATTGCGTATTCTGTACAACTGCTTACTTGATAGGTGGCATATAACAGGGGTGCTCAACCTTTTTCTTTCTGGGCCCCCTCAACGTGCTCTAAAAATTCCACAGCCCACCTGTGCCACAACTGGTTTTCTGTATATAAAAGCCAGGGCCAGTGTTAGGGGGTAGCAAGCAGGGCAATTGCCTGGGAGCCCCTGTGAAGCTACATTGCTCAGGCTTTAGCTTCAGCCCCAGGTGGTGGGGCTCAGGGCCCCAGGCTTCAGCCCCACGTGGTGGGGCTTTGGCTTTCAGCCCTGGGCCCCAGCAAGTCTAACGCTGGCCCTGCTTGGCAGACTCCCAGAACCTCCTTGCGGCCCCCCGGAGGGCCACGGATCCCTGGTTGAGAACCACTGACATCTATGTTGCGATTTTTAACCCTTTTTGCATGTCAGTGAATGCAAGATGTAGAACAGCAGCTTATTGTGGGCCATTTAATGTTCTGTGTAATGTAGTATATACCATGCAAGCATTTTGAAAGGGTAAAAGTTATGTACATTTCTGGTCACACATTTCTTGGCCATGACTTGTGGCTATTTTAATTCTCCAGGAAACTGACCCAAAGCCCAGGGAAGTCCATCAGAATCTTTCAGCTGATTTCACTGGGCTTGGATTAGGCCCCAAGAACAGAACACTATATTTTTACATTTATTTAGAAGTGTTGCAGATATTTTCTTAGTTATTCCATTCAAAGTGTAAATGCCCACTGCACATGACCTGTGTACTACAGTTACTTTACTGTCTTACTAGAACAGCAACAATTACATAAAGATTCTATATTTCCACAGTGACTAAAATACTTTTATAAATAATGATTTCCCACAGGGCAAAATGCATTTTTATTTGCTTTGTTAACTATTTAAATTTCCACATAACGTTTCTAAACATTTAATAAACAACATTCTTGGGAAAATTATGTTCAGATGTATATTATGTCTGGCATTCTTGAATAAATGAGTGACTTGCAGGCCATATCTCATATAAGTTACACCATGCCCATATCCCTTTTATTGAAGAAAACCCACAGCACATATCAATTTGATCTATGTTTAAATAAAGGCGGGTGTTTGCCACATAAGAGATAGAAATGGCACCAAATTAGGGCATATTATACTCATTCTTCTATCCCAAATTATTTATTAAAAATAAGGTATGTAAGTGAGAGGTAAGCAGGATTAACTCTATTTTATGCCCAGATTTTCTAATTTGGGAGCCAGGACACCTTTGTGTAATCAACTATTAACAAATACTCCTTCAAACATCTCAGCAGTTTTATTTCAAACACACATAAATAACTATCATTAGTATTCTAACCTTTACAAAATATAACATTCCGTAAACAACATTGCAAATATGCAATTCCAATAAACAATGTAGATGAACACTTTAGTCTGGGGTTACTGTAAATTATTATATTCTGAACATATTAACATATTATTCATAGCAATTTTTAAATGTTTTGGTTCCACTAAATATTGTATATGAGTGTAAAATAAGCACCCATTTAAAATACATGTCAATTTTCTCTATAATAGGGGAATATGACTGTTGTGTTTCAAAGTTTTCAGAGTTACTATCCACGGCAAACAAAATAAACATAGGCATTAAGAGCCACATACTGATAGATTTAAGCCTTTGCAGAAATAGACCTTTAACAGAGCTGTCAAATGTAATTTCATGTCAAGACACAAAGTCCAGAGATGGGGGCATCTAAGATGATGGTTGGAACCTAAATTTGACAGAATGAACTATGTAGTGAAATGACAGTGTAACTGCAAGGTCTGTGGGAAAAGGCTAACCACTCCCATCGGTCTCTCTCTGGAGAGGTAGCTTTTTGAGATGGGAGTTGGTCCAGGACCCTGAAACAGATCCACAGAGTCGAAAATGAAACAGTACAATGCAGCAGGAATGTAGCTCACAATGCAGGATCTATGGGCTGAATCTACTTAAAGAAAAAACCCTCTTTCAGCGATGCAGGCATCTCTGGTGGTGGGGGCCGAGGGAGCCTGAAATAGACCTTGACTGAGTCATAAATGAACCACTGCAGGGCTGTGAGGGTGCCAATCATGAGGATGCGGGGAAAGAGGCCCTTCCACACGCCTATGAAGCCCAGCTTCTTGAGGACTTCCATAGAGGTGCTGCCCTTTTCCTTGTTGAGCACAGACACCACAGAGTCAGCTGGGTGGGAGACTACAGCACAGAAGATACCAGCTATATAGCCAGCAACAAAGGTGACGCCAAGCTGCTCAGGCTTGGAGCATTCACTGCGCGGCTTGGGCACCACATAGGCATACAGGGCCTCCAAGGTACGCTCAAAACAGGCAAACTTCATCATGGTGTAGGGGATCTGGCGCATCCAGAGTGGAGCCACCCCCTTGTAGAAGGCCCACAGCCCCTCCTCAAGGTACATCTTGGGGACAGCCACCCGTAATGTGTTGGCATAGCCTGGCTGCGTCTGGATTCGCACTTTGACTGCCTCCATGGGGGACAGAGCAATGTCAGCAAAGAACTCGGCACTGGCTGAGGCGGCCAGATAGAGGCTGGTCCGCCACAAGTAGGCTCGCTCAGGTCCCAACATGTCAGCATAGCGCAGCTTGAAGACTTCATATAAGCCAAACTTGCAGAGGCCCTGTAGGGAGTAGCCCACACAGGTGGGGGCCCATCCTTTGGCCAGGCCACGCATCCCCTCCTCTTCCACGGTGAGAGCAAAGCCCTGCAGCATGCCCCGGTAGCGACTGGGCTCTGCCTGCATACGGCACTTCACCAGGTCCAGCGGCACCACAGCCGTGTGGGTCAGGCCGCAGCTCACCACGCCACCCAAGCCGCACATGGCCAGATACTTCGCAGAGCCATACTCGCAGCTGTATTCCTCCTCGCCCCAGAGTGCAGGCAAGGCGGCCGCCCATAGCCGGAACCGGCGCTCAGGATGAGGGGCGGTGCTGCTGTTGCTCCCCTCTGGGGCCCCTAGAGCCACCTCCTCCTGGCTGCTCAGGTCACTGCGCTGAGGGAGGGCAGTGCTGCTGTCACTCCTCCCCAGGCTGCAGAGTGTGGGGAAAACGGCTGCCCACAGCCAGGCTGGATGCTGAGGGGAGGCCGGGCCGCTGCCCATCTCCCAGCTGCTCTGGGGCCTGCACCCCTCTGAGTCCCCTGGGGGCTGGGCCATCTCTGCGGTGTGGAGGGGCCAAGCTGACGGCTCCTGTGGTGTGGGGGGGGCTGCGCGTCTCTGGGGCCGTTGTCGGGGCCTCCTGCCTCAGGCTCGTTCCAACTGCCAGTGCCCTTCGGAGGCCACAGGATTCTAACCATAGAGACTCTGCCTAGAGTGTAGCCCAGCCCGGCTGCCACAAGCATGGGTAGAGCGCCAGCACAATGGACAGGGTGACAGTGGGTCAGCAGCCACTCTAGCCATATCTCTATGGCCCTGTGTGGGTGGGGACTCATGCTCCAGGCGGCGTCAGGGAACATAGTGTGGCAGGGGAGATGGGGAGGACAGGAGAAAACTTGAGGGCAGATGTGGGGAGCTAGAGAGACGCTGTGGGCAGGGGGAGAGTTGAGTGGGGGAAGGAGAGCCTGCTGGTGTCACCGAAATGGCAAACGGCGGAGACCCAAAGAGAGGGCTACAGGGAAAACGCAAGGGGAGGTGCAGGCAGAAATGGGTGGCAGAGTGAGCGAGGGGGATTTTTGTGGAAATAAAGTGATGAATATCCTGCAAATATGCAAACAAGGGTTTTCCATTAAAAAAAAAAACTCCAAATTTGTGGGGCTCCAGCCGTAACACTCTTCTACAACAGTGGGACCCAGCATCACTATGCGAGACAACTCCCAGCTGCCGTGGTCCATTTGAGATCCTAGTGTCCAGGCCCATGGAATCAGCAGGTCCCAATATGTAGCAATCCATCCTGATCTGGAGCCCCAAGTCTACAGAAATGACAGGTCCCACCGAGCCATTCCTACATAGTCAATCACAGCCATTTTTTAACCATCACTTTGCCAACCATATCTCTTGGTCATAACTTATCATGCGGCATGTTGTGCCTTTTACATCCAATTGTACAACATCCATCAAATACACAAACTCATCTGGGGTTATTTGTATTGATTATTTCAGAACTTCAGTAAGAGCAGAAAAGCCTCACTTCACTTTGATACTCTCGTTAATATCCTGAGCTTTATAGGTATAATAGAAATCCATTCAACATTTCAAGGTTTTAATTAATGTTTTCAGCTTAAAAGATTGTTTTTTGTTTTGTTTTATAAAAAGGATGAAGAAATATATACAGAAAAACTGGCCAGAGCATTGTGTTCCCCTCACAACAGGATGGGCTAAGAATGGAGGGCCAGATCCCAGCTCTTGGCAATGCTGCTCTGGCAATTCAAAACAGTCAGGGTTCCCCGGTGTAGAGGAACCCCCACTGTTTGTACAGGGCCACTCTGTGGCTAACTCTATGCCACCCTCTTACTACCCCAGAATAGGGGGCATGTCAGAGCTATCGAAGAGGTGATGACTGGAACCCTGCTGCATTTGAGCAGTCCCTGGCTGTAAAACAGTTTCTTTTGTAGCCAGATGTAATTTAGAGCAGCTCTGAAGCTGCCCTAAGTTTTACAGCGAGAACAATTGGTACCCAGGATCAAAGGAGCACAAGGCTGGCTAACGGTCACTTGTGCTCCCCACCTCTTTCAGCTCTGAGCTCTAGTGCAGCTGAAGATCTGACCTGCAGAATCAGCTTTGATTTTGCTTGCCTTTATGAGAACAATTCAGACCCTTAATATTATGTAGCAGTCGATATTTATATTTAATTTCTGTTACTGTTCTTTTTTATTATTATTTTATTTTTTGTTTTACAGCAGGGCCAGAGGATCAAGGGCCCATTGTGCTAGGTGCTGTACAAACACAGAATAAAAGATACTCCCTACCAAGAAGCTCTTAGAATCCAATATCTTCAATGAAAGCTTCTCTGCTGTGCTTTATTTATGGGCTTGAATTCCTTACACACCCAGAACTTCACTGACTTCACTGGCAGTTTGGGTAGGCCAAGAGAACTGGAGTAGATTTAGTGTGCCTCATGCCTGCCCTGGAAGAACCACTCCGGGACTCAAAGAATTTACTTCTTATGACCATTGGTTTCTTGGTCTCTGTCCAGATGCAAATTAGAACTAATTGGTAAGGTTTTGGGTTGGTTGGTTTTGTGAGGTAGGCAGATGTTCACTAGAAATCGTGGATTGAGACCATTACACATGAATCACCAAACATCCAGCAGGAAGCCATGACTTCTGATCGCTACTGACCTTGTATTTCATTTCCTGGTTTTTAATATGAATATAAACAGTCAGAGAGGAAATGAACCATGAGTATAAAAGCTTTTCACACAGATAAGTTACATTTGTGACTTAACTCTACGCGATGTGTGAAGAGTCTGAGTGCTGCTGCTAGGCAGCTTGTTGCCCTTTCATTTCTTTCCGCTGCTGTATTGAGAGGGGGACAGGGATGGGGGGAGAGGGGAGGATGGCTTATACCGCTGCCCAAAGCGCTAGGGCTTCAGAGGAGCTGGTCTTATTTCTTGCCCTGAGAGACAGCTCCACTGCTGAAGGGACAAAGCTAGAGAGGGGGATTCCTGGAGGAGTCACTGCTGTGTAGGTCAAGCTCTCCCTGTAGCAACTGGCAACCTTTTGTGACAGTTGGGTCCCACAGCTCCTGGGGTGATTGTGACATGATTTTCTGTCTTTTGTATTTATTTTTTGGAGATGGTCAAACTAAACTTCTGTGATTCAAAGTCACTTTTTGTAACAGGTTCTCAGACAATAATAATAATCCAAGACCTGATTCTGTAACCATTACGCTGTGTAGCACCTTTCTCTGCAAGTAGTCCCGTCCCACTGATTGCAATGGGCTAAACTGTGATTTTTCAATCACATACAGAGCAGGGGATGGAGGGTAGCAAGTAGATGTATCCTCCTTGGCTTCCCTTTTGCCTCCAAGGTGATGATGATTTGCTACTGGTCCATACCAGTATCTCTCACTCACTGTTGGTCTACCACTGACCCTAGGGGAGAGGGGGCCACATTGTCAGGTGAATGCATTTTATGTTCAGTGCTGCAGTTATTTTTCTTTTTCAGCTTCCACATCATGCTCATGGACTTTGTAGCTGCAACATCCAGCCAAGGTAGCTCATCAGCACATTTCATTGTTGTAAAGATGTTCAGGAGGGAAATGAGTCTGTGATGAAAGTAGAGCCCTGATTATCCAATACAGTACCTGGGCACTTTCTCCTAAGCTGTGTTATTATTTTAAAATTTACCCCCTCCAGCAAAAAACAACACAAAAATACCCCCAGCAAATGCAAATACATTGGGACGTTTCTACTGTAGTTGTCTAGAGCAGGCATTTTATGTTGGCAACATGAAAGGGAGAAGAAAACACCTGGGTTGGATTCATGCAGCACAGACTAGACTTGGCTGGAATCAGTTGGTGTAAAAGTGTGCTTTGTATTTAAATACAGAAAATAAACATCAGAGATGGAAAATACCCCTGATCATTAGTTAGTCCGTCCCCCTCTCAGATTGTTTCCTAGAGTCTCAGATGTGCTCTGCCTAGCTTATTATTATTATTTACTAAGTACTGAGGATGTGCTTGGTGCTCTACATGATCAGTCTGCTGCTATTTGGCCATTTTGTGGTTTTTAGCTGGTTTAATATAGAATATATCTGAAGTGCTCAAACTGCAGTGGGTAAGGGGTGGGAGCAGGGCCGGCTCCAGGGTTTTGGCTGCTCCAAGCAACCAAACAACAACAAAAAAGAAGCTGCGATCGCGATCCGAGCAGGAGTGAGAGATCGTCGCCGAATTGCCGCCGAACAGCTGGACGTGCCGCCCCTCTTCGAAGTGGCCGCCCCAAGCACCTGCTTGGTAAGCTGGTGCCTGGAGCCAGCCCTGGGTGGGAGGAAGACTTTGCTATAATTTCTCTATCTCTCTCCCAAGTGTTCCTTAGGTGAAAGTCTGAGCTAGTTTCTAAATGACTTTACTTTATACTATGTAAGCAATTTCAGACATTTTCAAAACTGATTCAGCTCTGAGATGGAGAGATAATCACATATCAACATACATGCCATGAGTATGTTCAAAAAAGAACTATGTAAGTTCACGGAGGATAGGTCCATCAATCACTATTAGCCAGGATGGTCAGGGATGGAAGCTGGGAGCGGATGACAGGGGATGGATCACTGGAGGATTGCCTGTTCTGTTAATTCCCGCTGAGGCACCTGGCATTGGCCACTGTCAGAAGACAGGATACTGGGCTAGATGGACCGTTTATGTGATCCAGGATGGCTGTTCTTATGTTTTTATGTATAGAAGTACTACATGTACAGCAGTTTCCCAGCTTGGAATCCTGCCCTCAGCAAACACATTTGATGTTCATAGTAGTCTTTCAGCTGCCTACCCACTGACCCATCTATAACCATTTCTGTGGGCCTGCTGACAAGGTGATATGACAGTTTCACTAGATAGGTGCTAAGCACAGATGAATCTAGATGGCCAGCCTGCTTGATGCCGCAAGTGCTGTTGTTTCTGCTTAACGTGCCTTTATGGCGTTTGGAGGTATTTAAATTTTATTTTGTGGTATTCTTGTCTAATGTAAGTTGACAAGAACTATAGCTGAGAGGAAGGAGAATGAGGACTCTGGATTAAAAGTGTGTTTATTTTTCAGGGCAGAAGATTGATTGTCAGGCAGTGTTTTGGAATCAGGGCTAAATCCCACCAAATGTCTAACCCATCTAAATTAGGACAGCTTTGAGCACATGTCATTTCTGTGTATAATCTGAAGCTAAAAGAGTGTGATGTACCCCAAATTTGCAATTTCTCTTTCTGTCAATGTCTGCTAACGTTGCCTTTCTGAAGGAATTTGTATTAAAATGCATTGGCAAGATCCTCAGCTGGTGTAAATTAGAGTACTGCCACTGAAGGCAACAGAGCTTCACACCGAGGAACTGGCCCAGGATTGTTTGTATCTTGTATCAATATTTGTATATTATAGTTATATTAAGGGGTGTAGCATGAGCACTCAAGGAACCTGGAAGATTCTTTAGTGTGAAGATGCTCCAAAGCACTGAGGAGCATAA